TTTCAGCTCTCGTTGAACTGATTTCAGTTCTAGTTCAGCTGATTTCAGCTCTAGTTCAGCTGATTTCAGTTCTAGTTCAGCTGATTTCAGCTCTAGTTCAGCTGATTTCAGTTCTAGTTCAGCTGATTTCAGTTCTAGATCATTTGATTTCAGTTCTAGATCAGCTGATTTCAGCTCTCATTGAACTGATTTCAGCTCTTGTTGAACTGATTTCAGCTCTAGCTCAGCTTATTTCAGTTTTTATTTAGCTGATTTTAGCTCTTGCTCAGTTGATTTTAGCTCTAGTTCAGCTGATTTCAGTTCTCGAACTAATTTCAGCTCTCGTTTAGCTGATTGCAGCTCTAGTTCATCAGATTTCAGTTCTCGTTCAGCTGTTTTCAGCTCTAGTTCAATTGATTTCAGTTCTAGAGCTGATTTCAGTTCTAGGTCAACTGATTTCAGTTTTCATTTAGCTGATTTTAGCTCTAGTTCAGCTGATTTCAGTTCTAGTTCAACTGATTTCATTTTTTATTTAGCTGATTTTAGCTCTAGTTCAGCTGATTTCAGCTCTTGTTCAGCTGATTTCAGCTCTTGTTCAGCTTACAGTATTTCAGTTTTCAATTAGCCGATTTCAGCTCTGAGTTCACACTGAATTTCATCAGAAGCAGTAGTTTCTGTCAGTAAAATATTTTCCAGGTGACTAACAGACGGTTCTGTTTCTCTGCAGACACGTGTCCGGCTTCATGCACAACGTCCCGTTTCCGTCCCCTCAGCGTCCTCGGATCCTGGTCCAGGTCTGAGCCGGTCTCACACACACCTGTCCTGTTTTATTAACTGGAAGCAGAAACTGTTGAATGAAATGAAACTTTGTTGCAGCTCTCACCGTACGACAACCTGCTGCTCTGTCAGCCCGTCTCCTCCCCCCTCCCTCTCAGGTGCGTCCCACCCACTCACTGCTTCTGACCAGAGGGTGGAGCCTGAGTGTAACCTGTGTGTGTGTGTGTGTGTGTGTGTGTGTGTGTGTGTGTGTGTGTGTGTGTGTGTGTGTCAGTGGAGCGAGCTTCCTGAAGCTGCTGCAGAACCTCGGTCCAGAGAACACGTGCACGCTCCTGCTGGCCGTCCTCACAGAACACAAACTGCTGCTGCACTCGCTCAGACCTGACGTCCTGACCTCTGTCAGCGAGGCCCTCGTCTCTGTGAGAGACACACACACACACACACACACACACACACACACACACACACACACATATATAACCAATAATAAACCGTTTGCATGACGGTTGATGTGGGTTCAGTGCTGAGTTGTGACCCTTGTGTGTGTCTCTGTCTGTGTGTGTGTGTGTGTGTGTGTGTGTGTGTGTGTGTGTGTGTGTGTCTGCAGATGACCTTCCCCCTGCGCTGGCTCTGCCCCTACATCCCCCTGTGCCCGCTGCAGATGGCTGACGTCCTGCTGGCACCAATGCCGTTCATCGTGGGCGTTCACTCCAGCTACTTTGACCTCCATGACCCCCCAGCTGAGGTGGTGTGTGTGGACCTGGACACCAACACCGTCTTCCAGTGAGTCCAGAGCCACAGAGACGTGACCCTGAATCTTAGACTGTGTATGGTGTGAGACAGCAGGTCGTCATGTTGGACGTCTTTGTGCTGAGAGAGTATAAACGAGCTGAAGACACAGCTGGCCTTAAAGATCATAGCTCCTCCCCCTACCTCACACAGCTCATAGAAGTACACAACAACAGTAAAGATGGCTGGATGTTGTGTTTGTATCACTCTATGATCAGTGTTGTGTTTTTATCACTATGGTCAGTGTTGTGTTTTTATCACTCTATGATCAGTGTTGTGTTTGTATCACTCTATGATCAGTGTTGTGTTTGTATCACTCTATGATCAGTGTCGTGTTTGTATCACTCTATGATCAGTGTTGTGTTTGTATCACTCTATGATTAGTGTAGTGTTAGTATCACTCTATGATTAGTGTTGTGTTTGTATCACTCTATGATCAGTGTCGTGTTTGTATCACTCTAAGATCAGTGTTGTGTTTGTATCACTCTATGATTAGTGTTGTGTTAGTATCACTCTAAGATCAGTGTTGTGTTTGTATCACTATGATCAGTGTTGTGTTTGTATCACTCTATGATCAGTGTTGTGTTTGTATCACTCTATGATCAGTGTTGTGTTTGTATCACTCTATGATCAGTGTTGTGTTTGTATCACTCTATGATCAGTGTTGT